ATGATGTTTACGTAATATTTTCTAATAAAAAGCACTAAAAAGTTTCGGCAAAAAAACTTACCACTTAATTTCATCATCAGGAATCATTCTCGTAGCGCCCCCTGTAAAAAAATGTGAAATAATACATACAATTAGGCATTCCAAACTGAATGTCTACCAGTGGGCTTTGACGGGTTATGATATTGCAAAATTATGGCAACCCTGTAGACCTGGTGATTTGACAAGGTCAATGAAATAGATAGTTACATAGATTGATTATCCATATTTTTCAAAATAAACATAAGCGTATGCCTTGAAGTAAAAATGTAAGCAATTATTTTTTTTAAATATCTAAAGGTTAAAAATTGGTTTTAAAACACATTTTTGCTAAACCGATTCAAATTAATAAATATTTGCCAGGCAATATGGCCGCTCGTAAACGACCAGCTTTGAGCAATCTATATAACTATATATGTATCATTGACCCTGTTAATGACAACATGACAACAGGGTTGCCATATCTAAACTGTCATTACCCACTGGTAGCCATTTGGACAGGTCGTTGGAATGCCTAATAATATCCCTTGTCCAAAGATACGCCTTTGAGCCGATTTTGATAACAATTCATAAATATACAGTGATATTATAAAAAAAAAACGAAAAAAAAAAAAATTCAACTTTAACGCCATGTATCTTATTCCACAGCCATATTTTATTAAGGTATATTTGGTCCTATCGCCATATTTCGATCTGAATAACCTGCTCTTAATCTATGTCCCAATAGTTATGAATCACCCTGTATAACTATATTTGTATTATTGTCATTACTCAAAAGGCTCGGGCAGCATTTTCACAGGTCAATTTTTGTAGAAAAACGCACTTTCCGAATGAATTTTTTTCTCAATAATTTAAAAAAAATAGCTCTAGTTTCTACACATTTAGCAAAACGGGCGATAAAATATTTTTTCGTTTTAAAAAAGTTCGTGATATTTTTGTAAGCGCTTTAGTTTCCCCATTAGGAATAACTAAACAATTCAACTTCATGTCATTGCTAATTTCTGTTTTTTCTTATTAAAATCGTCTTATAAAACGGCTAAAGTGGTATGGAAATTTGAAACAATAATTGATCGATCACAAAAAATGTCTAACGAGAGATACCTAGAATGAATAGGTATTACACAGACGCTTGGACATTTCTATACGGATATTGATATTTGAAATTTAGCTAAAAAGTTTCCTAGTAAAAGTAACAATACAGTGGCGACCATGTAGCGACAGCTTCGGTCAGAGTCACATACTTTGATTGTAATCGGATTTGTCTGATTTTTGTTGATAGTTGACGTTTTAATTACTTATTTCTACACTGAGAAAAGTAACTGCAAAACTATTTGTTCCTTTGTCTCTTTGACAAAAATATCACAATAAATTAAAGAACAAAACTAGGTAAGTCTAAATATAATAAAAATCTATCAAAATATTCACAACAAATAAACGAATAATCAAAACAATCAACCACCATTATTCGATTGACGCAAAGATTATACACTATTATACAGGATAGCCTAATTTGTCAAGTGCTTTATTACCAAATGTCGATTGGTGACGTCACTGTAGAACCTAGCACACATTCCTAAATGTTTTGCTTTTTACGTACTAAAAGAGTACTTTTATTTAATTTAATTGAAAATAAATGTTTTTGGGAGTCTAAAAATTATCTTTAAGAAAAATAAAGAAAAGCCAAACCAGAGCAAATATATATTAAATAAAAGATTAAGTAGAATCTAACGGAGTTTTCATTTTATTATCCTTATAAAATAATAAAAAAACCCGTTAAAGCAGTTGATTGTTATACAAAAGTGATATATGTATATTATTAGAAAATATTTACAAATTTTAATAAAAAATACTTCTTACACAGGGTGTTGCAATAAAGTTCCGGTTTAGGAGGATTATGTATTATAGTTATTAGAAAAAGCAAATTTTCAGATATTTAGAAGTGGTATGTTCAGTAATTAGACGGCCTTTTACAAGTTATCACTTGTACATGATGTTATACAAGGTGTCCCGAAATTGCGTATACATGGGGCTATCACATATTTATTGTAAACTATGTTAATTAATTTTAAATGAAACAAATCTGATTTTAATCATTAAGAATAGTAATACATAAAATGAACCGTATAGAATCAATGTCAATGCTTATCACCAAATATTCTTATGCGTCCCAGTCCAACGTATCGTTCTACGAAAGATTAGTAGCACTCGTGAGTCATGACAGGGTGGTCCTAGCCTAACGATAAGCGAAACATCCGAGTGGTTACAGTATGGGCTCAAAATAAGTTAATTTAACCTAAGTTACCAACGTGCTTTGTTTGACCGCTAGAGATCAATAAAGTTTTTTCTTTGAACTCCAGAATTCATCTACGAGGGCTGTTTTTTAAGTTTTGCATATCGTACATTAGAATGCGTTACGAATCAAACAGCGCAAATAAAAATAAACTGTCGCCTTAAGTTAACCTCACTTCCAAGTTTCAGTCCGATTCATAGAGTGTTGTAGTTATACCGAATTTTCAGTTGACAAGTTATTCAATAAATGGATTTAAACCACGAACATTTTCGTGTCATAATTTTTTACAACTTTCGAAGACAATTATCTCAACAAGAATGCCTCGTTGAGTTGGTTTCTGTTTTCGGTAGTGATGCACCACATTAATCAACAATTTCTCGTTGGTATAGAGAATTTACACGAGAATGGGTTAATCTTATAATGGATTTTATTTGTTGCACTAGTGTTACACTTGACACTATACTCGACCTGTCATACATGTCAGAAGTATATGCTACACTCAAGTATGTGTCAAATATTTGAAGCTACACTGAACAAATCCAATGCGATTAGTGCAGAAAACTTACACCTAGTGCAACAAATAAAATCTACTATTAGTGACGAGCCAAGAACAAGTGCACCTAAATCGGTAGTCACCCAGGAAACCATTGATGCTGTGCGCAGGCTCATCGAGGAAGATCGGCATGTGACATATCGCGAGATTAAAGCATCGTTAGGGATTTCAAAGACCTCAAACCAAAAGATTTTACATGAAGAATTGGGAGTATCTGTTGACCGAAGAACAAAAAGAAGCTAGGTTAAATTGGTGTCAAAAAACACTGGAGCGCTTCAACGCTGGAAACTCTAAGAACGTGTACGGCATCGCAAGTGATGATGAATCATGGAATTACTCATATGAACCTGAACATAAACGCCAATCGTCTGTTTGGGTTTTCCAAGGTGAAGACAAGCCGACAAAAGTGATCCGTTCTCGAAGTGTGTCTAAGTCGCAACATTTGTCTCCAAAGTAGGTCACGTTGCAATAATTCCTCTGCAAGAGCAAAGAATTGTAACTGTCGATTAGTTTATAACGATTTGTTTGCCAGCAGTCATCGCTAAGATTCGGGAAACCAACCCCAAACGACGAATCATCCTCCATCAAGACAATGCAAGTGCGCACACAACTCGAAAAACAATTGCCTTCTTAGAGCAACAAAACGTCGAGTTGTTAGACCACCCTCCTTACAGTTCCGACCTAACTCCCAACGATTTTTTTACCTTTCCGAAAATCAAGAACGCACTGCGTAGGCAACGGTTCCAGTCACCAGAAGATGCAGTTGAGGCATTCTAAACACCCATTGGAACTGTGACATCCCAGGAGTGGAATAACTGCTTTCAGAGCTGGTTCGAGCGCATGCAAAAGTGTATTAATCTTCGTGGAGAATACTTTGAAAAACAATAACATGTTTAAACACTATCTGCTGTTTTATTCTCGGTCTATATGCAAAACTTAAAAGACAGCCCTCATATTTTAAAAGATCAAATTTGGTACGAATTCTAGGTGTTTTATCGCCAATTGTAACATTTTAAAAGTCTAATTATAAAATATTATTTTAAATGTGTGCCACACACAATATTCTAAAGAAAGGGAAATTTCTTGAAGTGGGAGTACCACTTACCAAACGATCTCGCATTAGATTTTTAAATTTCATTTTTTATTACCTTCTGCTCATATCTGGTGGTGTTTTGGCTGTTAAAGTGAAAACGAATGAATGCAGCTGTAACCTACATGCTGTAACCTACACACTGTAATCCACACGCTGTAACCCTCAAGCTATAATCTACACGCAGTAATTTAACCGCTGTAAACTAAATGCTGTAAATTGATCGAGCTGAGTTAACTGGAAAAGCGACAGTTACAACTCGCAGTTGTAAGGAAGAACGAGTAACCGACAAAGGCGTTGGTTCCAGAGGTGCAGAAATTTCAACTACCTACAAAAGAAGTTGCTAGAAAAAATGTGGTAATTACTAGTGACTAAATTTATCTATGACCGAATCAAAATCAATACCTGATAAACTGTATATAATTTGTTTTCTGAACGGTTTCTTTCTATCTGAATAAAATCGTTAACTTTTATAAGAATACATGTTGAATCTTATTTTTCAAAGGTTACAAAAATTCTCTTTTATTCACACTAAATTCTGTATAAGTTTTTATTAACTTCTTTATATTGATAAAGCTAGAGTTTATAATTCTCACTAGCTTTTAAAAATAAAAAAAGAGAATTATTGGTGCCCAACATTTCCTAGAAAAATTATTACCCTAAAATTGTCTATTGGAAAAGCCGAATTCACGACTGAGAAAAATATGGTCAATGTGCTCATTTATTTCTTTTAATTTTTAAGGTAAGTAATGTTTGATATTAAATTTCACTGAGCTAGTAAAAATCTCTTTATAAGTGTTTTGAAATTAACATTTATCGAAAAGGTAACGACGCATGTTACAAATTGGCGCCCAACGTGTCAAGGTAATATTACAAATTGGCGCCCAACGTGGGGCGGCAATTTGCAATATTACCGCAAACAATTTTTGTATTGTTATCATAAGCATCTCATTAAGGAAAGGACAACGAACAATTTCCCTAATATTTTTTATTTGCCACTTTTTGACATTTCTAAATAAGAAATTTTTTACTCAAAAAAGTTACTTTTGCTTTCGAATAAAAATGAATTTGAACTTTTCATATCGTCATGCTTAACATCCATATATTAGCACTATGAAAGATGTAACGAAGTCACTAAATTTTTCATTATTTTAATTTTAAAATGTTTAGTTCAAATTAATTTACGTCTGATAAAATTCTCAAGAACCCCTGTATTTTTTATTTACTGGAAATTCCAGTTTTTGAACATTTGCGAGAATCCTCGTATTTCAAAGTATTTTCTTATTTACTGAAATTCGAATCCAACTTTAAACGTTCGAATTCAGGTGATTTATCCGGTTTTTTCGAAAAGTCAAATGACTGTTTTTTAGTCTTCCCGAACCACTCGGGAAACCGAATCACTCCGAGTGTAGTGTAATCAGTTGTCATCGAGCACTCGGTCCTCGGTCTCTGTGCTGCCGATAATTTTGACCGCTCTATGTGACCGTGCCGAGTGTTTAACAAAAATGCAGTGTGATTTATTATGAAATATTTAAGGTACGTTGTGTGCGATTATAATTTTCTTTTCATCGATATTCCTTTTTTTATTCTTTTCCCAAACCCGCTACCGCTGTGTATTATTCACAAAATTATATTTTGCTATAGTCCGAGAAACTCTGAAACTTTAATTGAAAGCGAATTTTTGAGTCCTGCTTGGATTTTTTTGGTAACTTTCGTAATAGATTCCAGATTTATTTTATAGCGATCTGGCCTCGAAGACGGAACTTCTTAAAAACCGCAACTCATTTTGTATTGGAAAGTAGTGAAATTAGTATTTGTTTTTCTTTTTTAAATTAAGCCACCTGCTTCTTTTTGCACACGTTCTCTCAGCATACCACTGACTCTAACTGTTAAATAAATAACTTAAAATAATCTTTTAAACAAGATATAAATCGAATTTACGTTAAATATAATAAAGATCCCACTATTCAATACAAACAGGATACAAATTAAAGTCTCAAACACAAAAAACTTAATACAAGGGAATTCTGCGAACTAACAATAAACGAAAACAATGTTTGGTTCTACGGTGACGTCAATATTTTCAAAATACATGGTAAATGAAAGTAATCTATCCTGTTATAATAGTATATAATCCTTGGAAGTGGGACAATTAAAGTTTTTGCCGCTTATTTCTACACTGAGAAAAGTAACTGCAAAATAACCCGTCCGACAAAAATATCACAATAATTGGAAGAATAAAATTAGAAAAGTAGTAAATAATCAAATACTTAAAAGAATCTACCATCATTAATTGACTGATAATCAACACACGTTGGTTTGACGTATTTGTCGCTTATCTAAGGACCCCTCATCTCATAAACAACGAACTGTCGCTACTGTATTACTTAAACTGGTATATAACGCACATTTTTAGCTGATTTAAACGTATATGGTATACAAAAAACGGTTTCTTAAAAGTACAAAATATATAAAACATGATTTGATTCTTTATAAATATTTTTCATTTTCACATACATACAAAAAAACTTAATAAACATACTCATCACTTTTAAACTATTGTTTCTCAGTACTCAAAAACCACAGAATTTTTATATAGATACTCGGTAAAGTTTTACTACATGGTTTTATGTCTGTTTGCCGAGTTGGTCGTTTCTCTTTGCACCTCGAAGGAGTAGAGTCTTCTTCTGCCTTGCGGGACGGGAAGAGTTTCTGTGTTAGGCTGTGTTGGTACTGGTTCGACCACCGGGGCATTTTCTTTCTCCTTTTCCGGTCTGCAAAATAAAGAGGGTATAGAGCTACTGTTCATACGTACGATATTAAGCAATAGGTAAGGTAGAAGCTTTTTCTTTATTGTTCATAAGGTGAATTGTTGACTCAACGCTGCATTAGAGCGTTGCTTATCGATTAAGGGTTTTTGTTAGAGGGATTTAGTGATTAACTGTATATTCCAATAATTTAGGTTTATATCATTGGTTAGGGGTGAATTTAATTAATTTAAGACGAACAAGGTAATTTAATATTATTTTTCCAGTGAGCGGAGATTCATTGATTTGTGTAAATTTGTCGATAGATTATTTGCAGTGATTTAATTTTTAATTTGTTTATTGTTTTCTCTCTATTGGGCCCAAGAGCCCACTGCAAATTTTGACCGTCTTCTGATTATGAAATGAAATATGCTCTTAAAGCATGTAAAAATATTGTACTTTGCCAAATGGCACCTGTGCCAATCCCTCTCCTGAGCAAAGTGGTTAAAAAAATATTTTATATTTAAAAATCATACAAGACATGACAGCGCTAATTTTGTTTGCCTAAAAGTTTTCCAGAAAATACATCTTGAGAACATTGTTAAAGGGAAACATTTTCTTCCTCTTAACATCGCATAAAAACATCTTTCAGCGATTAATAGGTAAAAATCAATAAAAATATAAATAAATTTTTGGCGATTTAAAATTTATTTGTATACCTATTGTTGTGATTCATTTTTGCAGGTTGTCATAGAAACGACAAAAAAAACTACTATGGTTATGGTTTAAAAGAATTGTCTGACAAGAGTTTATAATTACTGAGGCCCTTTATGGGGCATCAGTATTGCATTCGTGCAGACGAAAAAATTTTCTTACCCCTATTTTTTTTATACTTTTAACACGTTTACGAAAATGCACAAAACAAATTTTTCGTCTGGTCGTCTGTGTGTATGTATGCCGGCACGATAACTCGAGAAAGAAAGTTCTGATTGACTTGCGGTTTTGATTTTCTTGAATAATTGCTTCAAACTTAGAACTCTATTGATTTTTAGAATTTTCGGTTCATCCTAATCACTTCATACCAATGTTCTTAAAATACGCTCTTGCATTTCTTATGTCACTTATTTTACGAATTCCTATCATTTCTAACGTCTAACATTCCTAATTTTCCATACATTCCAAACATTCGTTAGAATTTAGAATTATATCTGTCATGCTCTGTCAATACAAATTAGCGCGGTATTGCCAAGTGTCCAACCAATTAAAATCAACAAAAAAAAATATAAAAAAATAACTTATTTTTGACATAACATTTCCATACTCTTTAAAAAGTAGTTCTGTTAATTTATTTTCAGTCACACCCATGGGCGTCGTTACACAATTCTATAGGGGGGGGGCAAAATTTTGAAAAAATTTAGTATGTGTATTTATTGAAAAACAAAGAAAATGAAACATAAAAGAGAATTTTTTTACGATGGATTTAATTATTCTGTGACGTCATGGCTTACTTCCGGTTTTTCCAGAAATAACAGAAAATCGCAATTTATTTTTAATTTTTAAATGAAAACCCTCTTTCTTATTGAAAATTTGAATTTCTGGTACATTTTTGTATAAGAAGCGTGTATTGAAAATTTTTTCAGTAACAAGAAAAATATGTTCCAATATGATGATCATTTTGACAGCTGACAAAAAATTTTCAACACGTGATTCTTATCCATAAATGTCTCTAAAATTCAAATGTTCAATAAAAACGGGGGTTTCTATTTAAAAATTAAAAATAAATTGAGATTATGTTATTTCTGATTAAACAGAAGTAAGCCATGAAGTCACACACCAGTTGAATCCAGTATATGAGAGTATTTGTCCCAACCTTTTAAACAAATAAGTTTTCATTCCAGTATCTCAATTAACAAAGAAGATAAAAGCGGATAGAATTATTAAACGGTTTGCTAATAATAAAAAGGCTTAGATACGCCACTGGTATACGGTTAATGGGTCTCAATGGGAATTTTGATGCCTAATAAGATTTTATAAAGTTCGTACATTCCTATATGTTTTTCCATAAACGAATTAATAGTAACATATTTAGAAAAAATATTATCCAATATGGCGACCATTTTTACAGCTGACAAAAAATTGTCAATACACGATTATTATACAAAAATGTCCCAGAAATTTAAATTTGCAATAAAAAAGAGGGTTTCATTTTAAAAATAAAAAAAATCTGTTATTTTCGGAAAAATCGGAAGTAAGCCATGACGTCACAGAACAATTGAATCCATCATAAGAAAGTCTTTCAAACAGAATAAAATTAATCCGATATCTCACTGAATAGCGAAGCTAGGGGGGAGTGGAACTGTAGTAGTAACCCTAACAATGTCACTGACCTATTTGACAGAACTGATACTTAAGTTGTCATAACAAGTCTTTAATAAATAAAATAATCCAACAAAAAAAGACAAAATAAAAGTATATGGATTTATAAAACAAGTGAAAAAATCAGCTAAAAAAAGTAGTATAATTAATAAAAATCAATAATAAAACATAGGTAGGTATTTACGAGAAAATGTATGAGATCTTGCCTAAGCCTAATAAGTTGTCATTGAAGAATAGGTTAAATAATGTCAAAATAAACACACTACTATTATATAATAACGTAGAATTAAAACGTATTAACCAAAATAATTGGTATATTTGCGATTGTAATTTATATTTTCTTCATTTTTAGTTCGAAAGATCCCATAGAAATTAACGATTAAAACTGGTTTCCTATCAATAAGTCATAAGATTGCATTTCAGCCATATAAAATAATTAAAGGCAGAAATCATTTGCTTAACATTTAAGACTTATGGAATGTTGAAGAATATCATAAAATAATAATTTATTGTTTATTTAAAACCTTTTCTGATATCTATTATTTCCAATATTACTGTTATTATTACAAAAACAAAGGTTTTTTTCTTCATATTATACAGCTGTCTATTTATTTAATTTCGATTTTGCTACTGAAAATTTATATAATTTATATAATTTACAGTTTTTTTGCTAGTAAAATTTGCAACATAGTAACTCCGGTTGCTCATTTTATTATTTTTAACCTATTTTTTAGTAAAAATTAAAATGTATACGTGTATTTGATACGCCAAAATTACAAAATATCGCCCTAAAGTACTCGAATTATCCGCAGCTTGCGTTAGTATCGCTTTTGCTTTCCATACCATGACTTCGCACTGATCGAATAGATCGCAGCCATGTTTTAACATGCCTTAGCGTGCTAAACGTTCTTTCGATTAACTCTGTCGTTGGTGGAAGAGCCATAAATATTTTTTAAACCACTTTTTATGTCTGGATAAAATTCACAATACTTGGATGCTATATCATTAATGAAAAGCTCATTGTGTGTAGAAAGCTCTTTCGTACTCCAGTTTGATATTCAACTTCAAAATTGTCGATTCCAAATTTTTCCACTACTTTCATTTTCTAATCGGTAATGAAAAAAGTATTGTTTTTATGCTTTTGGGATGTAGCAGGCGTAAGGAAAATTATCAGTCTTCGGAAAAGCGTGATGTAAGTGACGAAATAAGGGATTCCAGATATCGTCGGCCTAAGATGCAAATGGCTTGACTACACTTTTTACCAAAGATACGTTTTATTGGCTACCCGTTAGTTAAAGATCTGTACTGTCGATTCGAAATGGCCTGTCAAGCCTATTTTAAATATTCGCACCAAAAATTACATGTCATTTAGTATAACCCCTTTACATTAAGGTTAGGTCTAAAAGATTTTTTGCATTTCCTGAAAAATTTATATTTTAGGAGTTAGGCCATTTGCATCTTAGACCGACGATATTCAATAAATATATTCAACCTATAATATTCTTCAACTATATTAGCCTTAATGTTATTATTTCTATATGAGATTGTTGTTCGTATGCATAATTTTACGCGTTGTTGATTAAGTCGCTAAATGCCAGGGGGGGGCAACTGCCCCCCCTTGCCCCCCCAAACGACGCCCATGGTCACACCCGATGATTTATTTCTCCATTTTGATTGAATTATTGTACTACGTAATTTTTAAATATTGATATTACGTCATTTATAAAGTAATAAACAATGTACTTTTCTAAAACTTTGAAACATAATTACTTTGTGCTATCCAAAAGTTATTAAAACTTTTTTGAATCAAGTGAATTTATTTGTTTCATAAATGACGCTAGCCAGCCAAGTTAAACGAATACTATCAGCAAGAGGATAGCTGAATTAGTTCAATTTGTGCTAGGTTAATTATGACGTCACTCGGTGGATACTTTTAAGGCATTTATTTATAAGCTCACCACAACATACTTGGTTACAGTATTGTAGTTACTGTGGTGAAGTCGCACATACCGTGGTAACCTTTTATGTCATATATCAAATTTAATTTAGGTTGGGAGATTCCTAAACGGAATTTGAGGTCAAATTTCGTTTAGCCGAAATCAGTTACGTAAAAATTGTTGCCATGGTAACCAGTAAACACAAACCCAAATCTCGTGGTGAGGAAATGCATAGTTGCCAAGTTACAGATTATTTAATTTTTATTTAATTTTAGATAAAATCAGTTATGGTGAAACTGTTGCCATGGGAACGCTTGACATAGTAATGACTAAACAAAACATCAAATCCTGTGGTGAGGAAATGCGTAACTGCCAAGTTACAGATGAGTAAATTTAGCTGTAATCAGTTACGGAAAAACTGTTGCCATAGAAACACTTGTCATGGTAACGATTAAACAAAAACCCAATTCGCGTGGTAAGGAAATGCAAGTTAATTAAAAAAAATGTTTAGATAACATGGCCATAGTATTTAAATGTATTATCTACTACTGGCCTATTTATTTACTCCTATAATTTTTAAATCATAGAACACGAGGCTAATGACCTTAGTTGTTGAAGCCAAAAACACCAATAAAAAAAAATGTGTATAATTATCTATTTGGGTCAAAATGATCTTTTTGAATTTAAAAATGTTTTAACGTCGTGTTTTAAAAA